AGCTACATTAAAGTAGTATTTGATTAGTGTTGGTATTTATTTGGACGGGTCCTACTAACATCAGTTATGTTAAGTTTACTTTGTGTTCATGTTTAGTTTACTTTGTGTTCATGTTTAGTTTACTTTGTGTTCATGTTTAGTTTACTTTGTGTTCATGTTTAGTTTGTTATTGGGTTCATCTCCCTTCCCTATCATTCTTCACCTTTAGAATTTTATATATAATAATTTATTATCATTAAATTTTTAAGGCATGGGGTGCGTTTTGTAGGTCCCCCTTGAGAGGATGTGGTATTATGGTGTATGGAGTATTGATTAGTGACGGACGAATTTTTGTGGTGAGTGTGCAAATTGTAATGAGTGAATGGGTCGTGAATCGGATAAGCTAGGTATAAGATAGTTAGTAAAGACCAGCCTCAACTCATCCCCTTTGTTTCGGCCTTGTGCCATAATTGTATTTTTATATACAATAAATACTAGTATTTGATTTACTCATGTTTTTCCGTATGAATAAACCTCTTCTTTGTTTTTCTCTTATTTTGAGAGGTGGACGGGTCCTACTAACATTTTTGATTTATTTTTGTGTTACTTTTTAGTTTGTTTTCTGGGTTATTTTTTTTTCCTCCCCATCTTTTCATGAATCATGAAATTTTTATATATTTTTGTAGTTAAAAAAACAGAAAAGATATTTTGCACTGTCATCAGATTTTTATCTCATGAAGTGTTTCCTTTTTTTTTTTTTTTTTTAGGTTCCCCTGTGAATATGCAATTTTGGTGTATGTAGGATCAAGAGGTGATGGATAAGTTCTTTTGGTGAATGAGCAAATTGTAATGAATGAATGGGTCGTGAATCTGATTGACTAGAATAGTTAATGAAGATATCCCGCACTTTTTTCTCCCCCGATCTTGTGCCACAATTCTGTATGTTACAGAATAAATATCTTCTTCTTTGTTTCCTCTGCCTCGTCTTCTGTTCTTTCGATACACTCTTAACTCCGACATTCCTAATTCTCGGCTATTTTGAACAACGCCAACATTACAACACACTTGAAATTCTCCGAATGTTTTTAATTCAGTACTGTACAAATTAGTATTTTCCCCAACCATTAGAAACTTATTCTGCTTACATTACTAGTGCGTTTATTAATCAGCAACAAAACGACTATTAAAATGTCAACGAACTTATTACATTGTAACTAGGATCTATTTATCTTATTGCCTGTTGATATGGAATCAAGTTTGAACATAAAAAATTTAATGGCATCTTTCAATTCTCATATTGAATATATTATTGTATTATAAGATAACACTGAGCTTAATTTCTTAACTGTGACTGGATAAAAGACTCGGAACCGGAAAAAGTGTAAAGATGGAAGACGGGGGATTGAGGGACGCACACAGGTCATGTGACTGCTGCTTAGTGACGTCACTATACAGTGACGAAAGTGGCAGTCAATTTCAGTATTTTAAAAAGTAACCGTTCGGTTTTGTTGCTGTAAACAATCTGCCTCCTCCAGCAAATGCTACAGTTTACAAGTCCATATATCTTCCCCAAATATAGAAGTCTTCCATTTTAGAAATCTCGAGATTCGCCGTTTTCCTCTCGTGGAATATGTCCTCGTCTGGGACATAGTAGATGAATCCGGTCCGTTTTAATCTGGAACTCTAAACATGGCTACTCCAGAAACACAGAAGAATAACTATATTATACGTAAGACCCTATCATTTCATTCTCCTTACATCCTGCTTGGTCTGTAGATAGGTTATATTTTTCTCTGCTGGGGAAAGGTGTAAATATGTGTATATAGTTTAATATATGCCTTCGTGGTCTAAAACTTTCTGAGAACAAGACATGTTTGAAATTCCTTTTCTTTTCAGCTATTCTGTTCTGTCCGTGAACTACGATAGTGGTATATCATGAATATGATAATGCTCATAATGGGAGAATAAACCTTCCGACCATAACTCTCTCCCATTACACATACATTTGATATGAATTGGATGAAATTATTACGTGACAGAAGCTTCTGGTGTTTAAAGCCTGATATTTACTGTTCCTGAAATTGGCTACTTTTATCTTTCTCTTTTGTCCCAGATGCAAATATTGTCGACAATAATCATGCCGGCAGGATTTTTTTTTTCAACTTGTAAAATAAGCAGGGTATTCTGGATCTCTGGAACAATAATCGTACCGTGGAAAATATCTTTAAAATAATAAACGTCCCGTACCGGCCGGAATGGGGAGGAAATGATTTAATCGTGTCGGCACTTGTATTTGCTGCATAAATGTGCCAATATACTGTGAGAGAGATTGATTCAAATAAAATGTTGGGAATATAATAGCAAAGAAATACTACAAATTATTGAGGATATACTTGTGAATTAGGGAAACGAGAAATCGGCGTAACGAAAGAAAATAATTGGCAGGACAGCTTTATTGCTTATATAAATGAAGAGAGTGAAAGAGGTACTGGACGAAGAAGAGGAAATAATAATAATAGTACCGTACGATCAGTGAAGTTAAGCAACGTCGAGCCTGGTTAGTACCTAAATGGGTGACCGACTGGGAATCCCAGGTGTTGCAAGCTTGGATATGCTGACAGTGTAATGGATAACGGCTCGGAATTGTTAATCGGAAAGCCGAGTTCCAATTCCAGTTGGGTTCGTTATATTCACTTACACGCAAATACCGTTGGGAAAGGTATGAATCCACCTCTTCTCCCCCAGTTATAGGTTAATTACTAAGACTTGTATCACTAAACTATTATTATCCCTCCACACGCACAAAAAATTATTACAATCTAAAAACATTTTCTCGTTTTAAATAACCTTCAAAGGGTGGATAAGCCGTAAAAAATGAATCCCTCAATGACAATAATAGTAGTGGTTGTAACAGGAATCTGTCAGCTTCGAAAAACTATAGTCTACTCGAGCTACTAGCTTATCGCTTTTACAAACACCTGCTCAGGTATACTTGTGTTTTTCTAACACCCACGACACCAGCGTGTGGTTTATACTGAAAATATGCTGAGTAGACTTTAATGACAGTATCTGAACAAGGCGCTTAATCCTGCGTAACAAGTAACTGAACAAGACGCTTAATCCTGCGTAACAAGTAACTGAACAAGACTTGTACGTTCAAACCCTCAGTCACCATGACATGTGAATTCGTGTTAGTACAATCGTCGACGGCATCGGAACAGGTTCATCTACTCAGTTACACTCACGAGGCTTGGGTAAACCCCGCTGGAAGATTTACAGCATAGCTGCACCCATAAATCTTCCCAGGCTTATTCTTGAATAATCGACCACGTTGAGATTCGAATTTGATGTCACGCTAACTTACCACTCAGCTATGCTCTTTTTCTTCTTTTTCTTTCTCTTCTTTTTCTTTCTCTTCTTTTTCTTCTTTTTCTTTCTTTTCTTTTTCTTTTCTTTTTTTCTTTTTCTTGTTTTTCTTTTTCTTGTTTTTCTTTTTCTTGTTTTTCTTTTTCTTGTTTTTCTTTTTCTTTTTCTTCTTTTTCTTTTTCTTCTTTTTTCTTTTTCTTCTTCTTCTTCTTTTTTCTTCTTCTTTGTTGCATACACATTTCCTTCCTGACCCCAACCAGAGACCTAAGGTTAGAAATGGCTTCATTGCATCTTCCACTGATCATTTGTTTGTTAAAACAAAAAACAAACACTATGATCACACATTTTATAGAGATAAAACTCTTCGTAATGTATGAGCTGTACTTAGTACAATTTTTTGTATTTCTTTAAGGTATGGGATACAAAGAATTCCTTTAATGAGCCTATTGAATCTTTTCCAATCAATCCAGGGACTCCAACTACAACTGGAATTATGTCTTCATGTACCACATTCTAGAGATTTCTACTTCAAGATCCTTGTATTTTGATAGTTATTTTTTTTAAAGATCTTCAAAGTTACATTATAACCTGCAGGGATTGCCATATCAATAAGAAAGCCCAGTCTGTTCTTGTGGTTTTTGATAACGATGTCTGAGCGATTAGCTTTGATAGTTCCGTCTGTATTGTCCCATAAAATTGTTACAGATCCTGCCTCTGTAACCAGATCTGGGTGATGCAGTTTCTAGCAGTTTCCTTCCTATAAAAGTTGCATATTTTCCAGTGCAGATATTAGCTCACTCTATTATGACGAGTTTTATATTCAGTGGGTTCTGACACTGCGTAACCGATCACCGAGGAGGCTTTGTACATTTCCATTATTATCATTACTACTACTACGATCATCACCACCACTACCGTACGCTTGTGTTTGTGTGTCAGGTTGTATGAAATTAGAAAAAGCGTTAGATTAAATGAGAAGTACCGGCAAGTGGGTGGGTTAATAGTATCTGTCAGTTGTTGTTGGGTTTGAAAATTCTCCTACATCAACTTAACAGCGGTGCGTGCTCTTCCGAATGGTCTTGATAAGTGAAATGGCGGCAGAAAAATGAAAATGGAAAAAAGATCCGATGTTCACAAATAAACTTTTTTTTATTATCAAGAACAGATGGATAAAAAAAATATAAAGAAAATGAGAGAGAGAGGTGGAGAGTGATGAACTGATATGACCAACAAGAAAGATAAAGGAATAAGCGGAATGGTGATAAAAAGTAATTAGATAGAAGTGGTGGATTACCCCACTTGTCTAGCAAAGAACTACTGCAAACGACCGCCAGATGACGTTGCCAAAGTAGTAGGAAAGAAAAGGGTGCAAAAGTCTCTCTCTCCTGCTTTCCCTACAGTATTCCTTAGATATAAGACGTGTGTCGTTCCTCTTATGTGATACCGAGTGAACCTTATGTCTTATTTGAACACGACACAAGATACTGCACAGCATAAGATACCCTAAGCGAACTTTACTCACAGGTGCTAATTCTACCAAACCAACAGATCAATAACTATTCTCAAGTCAGTCTCTCACAATCTTTCATAGGAAGTTCATACATGTATATACTACAAGGACATATAGGATGTCTGATCAAAAATATCAGGACGAGTGCTATTAAAAGAAAACTACAACATATAACAATTCAACATTTAATCTCCTTCGAAGTTGTCCTCTTTCGAGGTCACACACTTTATCCAGTGTCATTTCTATTGATGGAAGCCTTCCAAGAACACCTTTTTGGTGATATCGATCAGCTGCCACAGCGCATTCTCTTGGATTTCCTCGACGTCTTGAAATCTTGTTCCTTTCAAGTATGAATTGGTTTTGACAGAGGAAAATGTCGCTATGGATGAGGATCTAGGGAATATGGTGGTTGTCGGACCTAGGGAATATTGTATTTGGCCAAAAACTACTGCACAAGCCGTGGTCACTGATAGAATCTCTGTAGTGTGGTGAGACGACCACACTCTACACACTTCCATTCAACGTATTTCTATAAACAACGAAAATGAATGAGAATGGTATAACTTAGAGTTCATGCGCGACAGAGTTCAAGGTCAATCTGTGCCAAGTGGCTTCATTCTGCGTATCTTAACCCCGTTACCATAGCAACAGCTCCGATACTTTTTTGATGACACCTCGTATATAGTCGCTACTTATGAGTTTGGCTCGATGTTATAAACACTGACGCTTGTTGAAGTCGTCACAGTATTTAGTATTGTTGAAATTATCGCTAACACTTTTTTTTTTGTCGAGATTTACAAACTCGACGTTTCATTCAATTCGATTAAATTTGAATAAGCTGATTTGTTTTGAAAAATACCTGGTAAAATCAATTGTACTTTGTACCCTCTTGCCTGTTTGCACTTTTCCCCAAAAGATGGGTTCGATCTGTTAATGTATGACTATTTTAGAGGGCGTGACGGACGAGTTGACTGACGGGAGTCATAGAATTTTCTATATATAGATAATGAAACGGAAAGAAAGGATAATAAGAAGTGGTGCTGTGGGGGATAAGACAAGATAGAACGAATAAAAAAAATAGAGTAATTTAGTGAGTCAATTTTTTTTTTTAATCACATCCACCGATCATGAAAAATCCTTTTACTATTGCTTTAGATTTAAGAACAAAAACAAAGTTCGTTCATATTGATATTCTATTTTTTTTGGAATTTACACCTTGTCTTCATTTTGTCCTCTGTTTTGACTATCTACATTCCAGTAATGGTGTCTAGTCTATCAGGGAATCCTTATTGTTCTAAATTTAACGTCAGATGTCAGTGGAAAATAGGTTGGTACTAAAGAACAAACATTAATAGCTACAAAGCATAGGAAGTTGTGGAGAGCTATTATCGTCCGCGGCATCGAGAAGACAGAATGAACTGAACGTTCTTGCATATACACACGGCATGTATTTACTAAGCGTAAGTCTATCTGGTATTAAATATTTTGAACATTTGCCAAGGCGATGTTCAGCGTGTTTATCTTCTATCCTTTGGTTAATTAATTGGAGCCTCACAATATCCGCCATACTCGCTGCCTGGTGCTAGCAAAGTATATATCTCCTTACCTATATTTTATCACCTAGTAGAACAAAAGTTAATGAGCTCGTTTCAAAAGTGAGATTGAGCCTAAGAAGTATTTACTAAGTTTAGCTGGTGAAAGGAACAGTAATTCTTTTAGCATTTGGCACAAGATCAACAATTGTGGGGAACCCCCCCCCAAAAAAAAAGACACACCAATCTGTTCAGAAATATCTAAGCTGTCTGCTGTATGCAAACGCTTTCTAAGATCAATGGTTAGAATGGCTTAGAATACTTATGGGTCATGGTGAAGACTTTGTTGACTGGTGCTATAGAATCAGAAACAAAGAACTGGACCAGAAAACTGATACCACGTGACTTGAGGACTCGCAACAGCTAAAATGGATATCACATGAAATTCAAAGAGAAAATAATGACATACTCAAGATATTCACATTCCACACTACTTCAAATAAGAGTTGGGAAGGACCGCTCCCCATTAATACTGGAAAGAGCGATAACAGCAACTGGAACTCATTTGATCATGAAAATCACTTTCCCACCGACGCGACGGGGCTTCACTCTGTAATTTCTACAAATATTTTCGTGTCAGCTATTCTGATGAGCTTATTCCTTAGTGCTTCGACTGCATGAATTTAAGTGTGCTGCTAAATTGGTAACTAACTCTCATCATATTTCTGTTAAACGAACTAGATTCAACCGGTTTTTGTATTCTAATAGCTTCTTTTTGTCGCTTGTAGAACTCCCTTCCTATTTCTTGCTTCCCTGCGAACTACAATCTTCAAAATTTTAAATGCAATGTCAATAGCGATTTTCTGTCTTCCTGAAGCTTGTTCTTCTATTGTCTTTTCCTCACGAAAATTTTATTCTCTTCTTTTTACTACTTCCTGCGTTTTAAGAGAAAGATTTTATAAATTCCAACCGACAGTAGTACAAGCTGCTCAGTCAATGAATGCAGAATGTTTCCTTATAAAGAAATCGTACTTATTATAAAACCCAGGCTGTGTGTCTCTTCGTTTATATATTGGATCGGATTTCCTACATTTTTCGACCGATTTCAACAAAACTTTACAGGACTATGTAAAATTACCTTGCGATGGTTCTGGCAGCGCCAAAAATTGGAAAAACACAATTCTTTTTTCATGAAATCAATTTGAAAACACGATTAAGAGGCATCACTGTCGTCAGAATGAAAGGGGGACAACTCATACCGAGTTATACTTATACAACCCAGATTGTTCGTGTGTGTTTGTTTATATATGGGATCAGATTTCCTACATTTTTCAACCGATTTCAACAAAACTTCACTTTTTTTTTTTTTGGCAGGTAGTGTTTCTTATTGTCTTGCACACTTTTTTCTTTATTTTACATTCAGAATGCTTTAAAAACTAATTAAGACATGCGTGTCCGTCAACCTTAAACAATAATCTTTGTCAATTTTATTTTTCAGTCTTTATGATGGTCGATACTTGATGTATCTCTTACTGTTACATCCCCGGGCAACGTTGGGCTCTACTGCTAGTAGCTAATATGGCGCTACAGAATAACAAAAACATAACAAAACGACATCATTTGAGGACTTTCAACAGCGGCATCAGCTAAAATGGATAGCCCATGTAATTCAAAGAGAAAATAATGACATAATCAAGATGTTCACATTCCACACAACTTGAAATACAGGAATAAAATTTATATCAATACTGGAAATAAGAAATCAATGCACTTGAGAAACTTACTTTTCTGAAAAATTGTATTAGAGATTTTATAAATTTCAACTGAAAGTAATACACGCTGCTCGGTCAATAAATGCCAAATGTTTCCTTATAAGGAAACGGCTGTTATTATCATTATTTGGAAGCATTTTGTTGCCTATTCTATAAATGTAGTTTTATTAGAATTTGGTTTTGTTTAACCAGTATTTACACAAGCGCCTCAGTGTGGGGTTAGCGAAGCTCATCTATTTAATCTACTTACTACTGTATTGTGAATGTGATCTTTACTGGGTGGCCCATAAAAAATAGATAGGTTCGTCTATCATCTGGTTCTTATTCTTCCCAAGTTTCTGAACAGGAGTAGTTGTTGATCTCTTGTTTCTTGTTTAGGATTAAGTTTCCCGGTCCTTTTAAAGTATTTTCATTCTTTTTCACTCCTAGTGTCATTTTTAAAGGCATTTTGTTAGAAGCAAAACACAACTGAATTGCTATGCAATATCAGGCCTCTAATATGGCAGTGGATTCTGGACGATTTGCACACAGAAGAAAAGATGTGAGGCAACAGATGTGGTTTTACAGAAAAATGCTGAAATACAATGGACTGAACATGTGATTAACAAGAAAGTCTCAAATAAAATTAAACTAAAAGGATAACAACACATGAAATTTTTGGGATGCATTATGAGAAAAGGTCTGGAAAATTTGACACTCAGACGACATATTGAAAAGCAGAGAGTAACCTACCTAACAAGCTTGTGTAGATTGATGGCGAAGCAGGAAGACAAACATTAAGTACTGCAAAAATATAGGAAGTTGTGGAGATCTATGATCACACATGTTCGGAAGGGACAAGGCACATAAAGAAAATCTAATATTGATTACCTACAAACATAGTTTTCAGAGTAACTTTTATCATATCACAACTTACATTTTTATGTCAGAATTTCATAAAAACGTAAACTGATACACAACCATCCAGATGGTTGATAGATTTGGGCTAGGAGATATAGATATGGACAAAATAAAATATCAGTCAGGCTGTCACCAAAAACTTTCACGCTATTAAATCTGACCAGTTAATGAATTACAGCGATTAGTTAAGCTCAAATCAAAAGCTGACATGACGCTTACTGGTGCATTTTAGCTAAACACTTTCTTTTTGTTGAGTGCTATGGATAGATTTACTCCATGAGACAAGAGTCCTGTTAATTCAAATCAAAGCCGCTTGTCCGATATATGACTGTATGAACACTGCCGGTATGTTCAGCAGTGGTGTGAACACACACACATATAGGTATTAATGCCTCTGCTATTTGTACCTATTGACACGGATATAACACAACTATTAGTAGTAACTCTGATCGATCGATATAAAGAGACTGATAGTCTATTAGAGTTCAAACTTGGCAGTTTAACCTTTAGCACACTGCATTATTATTACTTCTTTTTCCACTACATTCTTTTTTCGAGGCTTCTCATTTGCAATAACCTTATTGTTAATTTCATTCGAAAGTGTTTACTGTTGCCATAGCAGGATATGACAACACAACTATGAAATTCAAACAAATTCAAATTCAGAGATCAGTCACCTTCAGTGGCAGGATAAACTTTTTGTACAGCAAATGAAGTTACAAACTAGTAATAATGCTTAAAGCATAGATAACCTATGAGCAAGTATCTATCACTGGGCAGATTTAGCAGTTGAACTATGCGATCACGATTAGCCAATATCTTTATCAATCGTTTCATAAATCAAATGATTATAATATGGCTTTGCTTGCACTATCAACTTTTCTTTCTTTTTATGTGCCATGTCCTTCCAGGACGTAGGCGATCATGGCTCTCCACTTCCCTCTATCCCTTGCAGCTCTCAACAAGTTCCTTCCCTCTGCCACCTCCCCCAGACCACGTTATGTTATCCACCTGCTCAATCTCATCAGGTATGACACGCGCTACTTTCCCTTCTCTCTCTTTCACTCTATTTGACCAGTGAGTATCAGATTATCCAGTCTCTCCTTCCTCATTATGTGTCCCAGAAATTTCAGCCGCCTCTTCCTGATATTAAATATAAGCCGCCTCCTCGTTTACAGCCTCTCTAAGACCTCATTGTTGCTCACACCCTCGGTCCATGATATCCTTAGCATCCTTCTGTAGAACCACATCTCCGTCGCCCTGAGTCTCTTCTTCATCTTTGAGGAAATCGTCCAACATTCGTTGCCGTAAAGAAGGACAGTTGTCCCGTAACAGTTCTGTATTCTTTTCTTTGTTACCAAAGAAATCCTCCTGTCTCGCATTACTTGGCCCAGAAATATCCAGTTTTTTGAGTGATTCGTTTTCTACGGTTTATCAACCCTTTGCAGGTTATTTAAAGCCAGAAAATATTTTTAAATTGTAAGAAATTTTTTGTTTTTAGATAATGATTTAATGATACAAGTTTTACTAATTAACCCATAGCTGGAGGTGAAGAGGTGGATTCATACATTTTACTAGTGTATTTGCGCGTAAGTGAATATAACAAAGCCAACTGAAATTGGAACTCGACTATCCTATTAAAAATCCCGAGCCATTAACGATTGCACTTTCCAAGCAATCACGCATCTAGGTACTGACCAAGCTCGACGTTGCTTAACTTCGATGATCGTACGGGAACAGGTGTGAACTAAATATCCAAATCATCAGTCTCATAGTCAAGTGTGGTCGAAGTATCGTTGTGTAATTAAGCACCTGGCTAGTTTCCTTCACGTATCTGGGTTGAAATCCAGAGAGATATTCATTCATGCGTAGCGTGTCTTGGACAAGTAGACCCCTCCATGTTAAGCCACAGCTGATTTCCTTCAACTGATGGGTCACTTTGGTCCTGGACACGTGGCCATTGATGCCTTCGGGTTAGCCCTACAAACTGGCCGTTTTCAGTCTAGGAAGTATTACGCCCTGCAACGCCATGTAAATTAGCACACTGGCTACATCCATAGCTACAGACTCCATTGCACTAGATGACCGGTCTCACTGCCACAAGAAGGTTCATTTAACAGATCTTGCTTGGTGTCTAGTCATTCTCCTCATCAGAAAAGCCTGGCGGTTGAATTGATTTAGTCGACGATGAGCCGAACATAAGACAGGTAGTACTGGATTACATGTCACCGATAGTACTTGTAGACTGACTTGGCATAAATATTCAAAACCGATTCTAACATGTTGGCTCCCACAGGACCCACTGGAGGGTCATTGTGGTATGTCTGCAAGGCACATGCGACCTTTCGGTGGGTCGTTTTCCAGTTTCTTTTCTATGAGGGTTATTGGGAGTGAGATGTTGTGACTGATTGCTTATAAGATCGTGGTACGCCAGAACCACATTTTTTTCCTCAAAAGTTTAAATATTTTCCAATACAGAAAATGAGAGTTAGTGTCAATGTTACATTGACACTACCTGTATATTGGGAATTTTCCAACGACTTACGGGTGGGTCGTGTGGGACTTCAGGTTGTAAAATGAACTCAGGTACTGAAAGATACACTGGAGGGTCATGGTGGTATTTCTGCAAGGCCCATACGACCTTCAGGTGGGTCGTTTTCCAGTGACTGATTGTTTATAAGATCATGGTACGACAGAACCACATTTTTTTTCCTCAAAAATTTAAATTTTTTTCCAATACAGAAAATGAGTTAGTGTCAATGTTACATTGACACTACCTGTATATTGGGAATTTTCTAACGACCTACGGCTGGGTCGTGTGGGACTTCAGGTTGTAAAATGAACTCAGGTACAGAAAGATACACTGGAGGGTCATGGATAATTAATACTACCCATGATATCTTTGCCTCATATATGAAACAATGTTAAAGCAAAGTCGATTGTGCCAAAATGGATTAAAATATAGTATTGGGACAACAAGGGAAATGAGCTTTGGTGGTCAACATGTTAAAGCATTTGGACTCTGCTCTTTCTCAGCGTAGTGGTGCAACACAATATTTGAGTTCTCTCTAAACAGCTGACAGATTCTTTTATCACCATGTCTGTTTATCTGCAATACACACATACACTACTAATTGGGTCCTTGTTCGTAATAGTATGTAATGATGTATCATAAACTTGATGTTTGTAAATGAAAACAAAGTACAGATAAGTCTTTAAGAAGTCAGGAATCAGTTTGGCACTGTATTTATATCATGAACAAGACCCTCCTTCTAAAATGATTTTAAAAAAATCAATATTTTTCTATTCTGACAAATGTAACTTGAAGGTTTGGTGTGCGGGTGGTGTGATGGGTAACCACTCGTAATTAGATATCTGAGAGCCCAGTTCGAATTTCATTCGAGTTCGAGTAAATTAGCTTACGCGTAAATACTCTTCTAAAAGGCGTAAATCCATCTTCTCCCCTAAAGTATGTGTTAAATAGTAGAAGATGCATATAAAAAACAAATCATTGTTATTCTCAAAAATTGTTAATTAATATTCACTTGCAAAAATGTAATTATTCTTACAACACCAAATGTGTTTCAGCTTTAAATAACCCACACAGGGTTGATAAGTCGTAAAAAATAATCAACTTAGAATATTTAATGTGTGCTATTTTTGCAACAGTTATTTTTTTAAAAATGCTTTATATATATATATATATATATATATATATATATATATATATATATATTTATGAGCATGCCAGTAAATTTTAGTGTTTAATATGCAAATATGATATAAACTTCTGTGCTTTTTCAAAATTAAATTCATGCTTTTCTATTGTAACATTGCTTACCGGAAGGAAAATCACAAGTTTCTTTTTGCTCTGGGAATGCTCAAATGATTTCCTACATAAATTAATTGTCAATCCGCCATTTTACACCATTTCGACTTACGAAATATATATTATTTATATATATTTATATACTAGCAGCATGGCCCGGCATTGCCCGTGCTTGATTCAAAAACCGTACGACTCGTACAGCAATCGCTATCACTTGACTTAAAATATTTTTGCCCTTCCTTGCCTTTAAAGGAGTGCCCTTTGCCGTGCTGCTGTTGCTACATGCCTTACTTCTTGCCTATCTCACACTGCGAATTTTTTCTAAGCCCTATACTAATCATTAAATCTGTTACGGAAAAAAGAACTAAACAAAATGAACAGAAAAACGGACAGCTTTAAAAAAAGAATCGTAACTGGAAAAACCGAATGAAAAAAGAATGTTAACAACAAATACTTTTCCCCATCCAACCCAGTTCTGCGGAATCAACGTTGAGTTTAAGCAAACAAATGAGGCAATTGGAGTAAAGTGCCATGCAGATTTAAATTTTTCCCACTTTTGACGAATGCAGCTGTCGATTTTTTTTGTATGCTAGTTAACATTCGTGTCAGTCAGCTGTTGGCTCTCACGCTGGCCAATAGAATCTTCCTACCTATTCGTGGCAGCCAGCTATTGGCTCTCACTCTGGCTAGTAGAAAAAGGCCGCAAACTACATGAAAACTGCTGTAGAAGCATGAAAAAATCGATTATTTCCACTATCGATGGGAGTTGGGAAATGCAAAGTCGGTCTTGGCCTTTTCACTAACTTGGAGCATGTGCATGTAAATTTTGGTGCAAATCCGTCGAAAATTGCGGCCGTGCATTCGTTACACACACACATCCTGCCTTTTATAGATAGAGATTATTTTTATATTATTTACTATATATTATTTGATTTTTTTAAATACGATTTCATCACTACACATAAATTGTAAGCAACATATATTTGATACATAAGTTGTCTAGGAAAATTAAAACCCAACCACCCCTAATCAAAACAGATTGAATTTTCCTCAACATTAACAACTCAGAATATTAAGATTGTCTTATAAATTAAGTAATATTTCTTAAAAAGTTATTCCTAACATTGCTTGACAATGGAACGAAACTCTGGATTTTAAGTTTTTTATAATTAAATTTGCAACTTTAGTTTCAGTTTTGAAGCATAGAAATTGCTGTGTCGCAATGGAATCATATTTTTAAAAATGAAAATAATTATAATATTAGGCTGTACGGGTTTTTTTCTTATAAAAATAATTGCTAAGAACACCGGATTATAAATTTTACTGTTCTTTCTTGTATATATATATATATATATATATATATATATATATATATATATATCTACAGCCTGTGAATTATCATGAAGGACCGCCTACTTGGATAATGTATCAAGTACAATATGTCTAACCGGCTGAAAAATTAGTGTTTGCTACTTCTGAACGGATGCAGTTGGCATTTAACTCCTCAGTCCAATAATCTGCATATTCATAAACGGTCCGACCGCTCAAATTGATCAACTATCAACCAAAACCTCCGCCTTCCACAAGAAATGTTTGCTTCAGTAAACGAATGATGTGCATATGTGCATACTTCATTGCTTTCATCTCATTGTAGAACTGCTGTTAGCCCCTTTTATGGTCCATTGCGTATGACGTCATCGATGTGTCTAGTGATGCAAACCAAAGTCGAAGTGATCGGGTTACTGTTTGCTTCTTTTCTAAAATCGCACATTTCGTGTAGTTAATTCAAGAAGCTGTCATTTATTCGTTTGAATTTCATGATAGTGCAAGAAAGCAATGCTATCTTGACGTTACCTTTTTTTATCTTTATTTGGGAGGTTTCAACATGTTTAAAAACAATCATACATGAAATAACAAGTGTATTTCTTTTTTCCTCTCTCTCTCTCTCTTTTCTCTCTTTTTTCTCTTTTTTCTCTCTCTCTCTCTCTCTTTTTTCTCTCTCTCTCTTTTTTCTCTCTCTCTCTCTTTTTTCTCTTTCTCCTCTCTCTCTTTCTCCTCTCTCTCTCGATCATGACTCTCCATATCTTACTCTCCCCTTTTTTTTTTTTTTCGTCTTTTCATTATCTCTCCCCATCTTTGTTCTGCAACCCATTCACATAAACTGGTTAGGTAAATTACGCGCTGCTTTTCTTTTTTCTTATTGTCATTAATGTATTCTGTGAGTGTCAGATTCTCCAATTCCTCTTTCCTCATTATGTGTCCTAGAAATGCCAACTGTTTATTTCTATTTGTATGTATGTGTGCCTTTTTTGTTTCCACTTTCTCTAAAATTTAGTTGTAGCTCACATGTTCAATGCATCGTGGTCTTAGTACCGTGTTCTAGAACCGCATTTCTGTTGCCGCAAGTTTCTTCACCTGTGAGGCAATTGTTCATCATTGACTGCCATACAGGAGTTCTGACATTACATAACACATTAGTACTCTTTTTTTTGTTTTCCTGTGTTATATCACTTTACCTAGTTGTTGAAAGGCATATTTCGCTTATTCCAATTCGTTATTACATTTTCTCTTCTCTCTTAAAATACTTCCCAGATATTTCAATTTTCGTACTTGATTTCGATGTTTCCATTTGGTGACAACCATGTAATCTGTCGTCGTATAATTGATGGTTTATCCTTTTTCTCACTTTCTTTTACTACCTTCTGTGGGAGTTCTTGCACAGTCTGCTATCAAAACTATCACCTAAAATTGTGTCCACTGACAATTTTTTTTTTTTTTTTTTTTTTTTTAAGGATCAATTGCTGTAAAAGTTGAATAAATACGGTGAGAAGACAAATCATTGTCTTACGCCCCGTTCTGTTTTGGTATATTTACTGAATTAATTTTCCTCCGTGTGCAGGCGATTTGCTCCCAGTATAAGTTCTGGAGTATTCGAATATCCTTTCCAAGTTTACCTTCATCAATTATTTGTGTCGAACTTTATCAAAAGCTTTTCTCCCCACTCACATTACCATTGTTTTCTCTCTATTCTGACTTTACCATTGTTTTCTCCCCCCCCCCTCTTTGTCTCTCGAGCTATTCTGTGCTCTCTTTGTCTCTGGGGCTTTTCTGTGCTCTCTTTGTCTCTGGAGCTTTTCTTTCCCCCCTCTCTCTGGAGCTTTTCTTTCCCCCCTCTCTCTCTGGAGCTTTTCTTTCCCCCCTCTCTCTCTAGCTTTTCTTTCCCCCCTCTCTCTCTAGCTTTTCTTCCCCCTCTCTCTAGCTTTTCTTCCCCCCTCTCTCTCTAGTTTTCTTTAATTATTTTTTGAAAAAAAAATGATTCCATCGCTACATAAGAGTTCTCATGTTTCAAAAACAGAAGCTAAAACCTTCAATTTAATTATAGAAATTAAATTGATAGAGAGACCGGTTCATACTCTTTCCACGTCTTCTACATAAAAGTAGTTTTATCTCTTGCTTCCTCTTTAGGATTCATTTTTCGGTTCCTTTACTTAAGGAATTATTTTCTTTCAGACCCCTTGCGTTTTAGTGGCATTATCGCCTTGTTTGGGAGGCGGATGAAATGATACTAATAGATATTAAGTAGTGGTTAGAATGTTAGCTTTTCTACTTGAGACCCGAGTTCTAATCTCACCATGGTCGATTTGTCAAAGAGTTGACATCAAGATGATATTGAACTTGGCAGATATTCAAATGATTGTTTCTCTATTTTCATTGTGAATCGATTTTTCACAAGAATAAAGAAAATTAATTTAATATTCTTACTTTTTCTTACGAGATTCATTCAAAATTTATTCACTTTCATACAATGTTTCTCTACAATGGACTTGTGCCAGTCTAACCTAACCCCTAATAATTATAATCGATTAAAATTGAGAAATAAAGGTACCAGGCATTCATCTAGGTAGAATGGCATCACGTTTATGCAAATGAAAGGTTATAAGAAAAGTGTTGGCTCATATTTATGAGCTTGGCATAAACACTTAAAGGTTTAGTTCATTTGATTCTTCTGATTCTCGTGGTAGGAGGTTCCAATTGGTTTACAAATGAAAACGTGAGATTCCCTTCTTTTGCTTGATATCACTTCGCCTCGCCACCAGATAATCAACATTGCCTCGCAGTCTGTCAATATATTTGCCCTTCCTTCCTAAGTAAATATTTCCTACGAATATTGCAAACACCTATATATGAAGGTGTGCAGAAATGTTCTCGTTACGACCAACAAGAGACAAATTAAAATAATCTATTTAGTTAAATTTTGGCAGATGGAGTTGGCAGAAAAATCCATCATATGAAGCTCAAGATTTTGAATGCTGAATTCCAACATATGCAAATCTTCTTACATGCGATACTGGTGCTATACAGTATTCTTATAACATTGTTCGTACATTCGTATACCTGAGAATGTATATATCATATCCATGGGACCTGTCTCAGTCCGTCTTTGTCTGTTCACTTGACCCGTTCTCGTCACTTTACTTTTTTTATTCCTCCCAATCTAAGTTACTCTACACAATATTAGTCTGTTCAGTAATTGTTTTTCTGAAACTATAAACTATTTGTTGTCTTGTATATTTAAACACATTTTAAAATGAAGTCGTAGGCACGCATAAATTTACATATCGAAAATATTAGAAACGCTCTTAAAAACACCAGCTAAATAACCTTAATCTGTTTATATAATTTCTTCGAATATCGGCCATTTTTATAACTTCCACGAAGAACACCCGAACATTCTGAAACCTGTGATACCTTTTAAAAGAGAAAAAGAAATCATGTACGTAAAACATACCAATAGAAAAATTGTGGAAACCTATATGGGAATATAGGTCAGCGTAGTACAGAAGACAAACCAAACAATTCAAGACAAACAATTTTAGCAAAAGAATGACGGCAATAACCAACAGACTGCCCCCTGGATACTGAAAAAGACAAAAATAATAATAAAATGACTAAAGTTATTTCTATTAGAAAACAAAACCCGTTTAACAGAACTACACAAAGCAACTCACCCTGATAACCACATCAAATAAACTAAAAGAATCCAAAGAAACTGAGATTGAAAATAAAACTCTACAAGCCACCAAAACACAAAATAAGTTCCACTGAACGAAAAACAAAATACTCACGGGCAATAAAATAATCCAATGGAATATTAGAGAAACAAGGGTCAACTGTTGCGAATTGATGCTACTTATTACATACTAGTATCCGGTAGTTATATGGCTTCAAGAAATATCTTCAAAGACAACAATAGAATCAACATTAGAAATTACCAATCATATAATTATATTAAACAGCACACTGATAAGGCTTATGGTGGATCATCATTAATCATTATAAATAATATTTCACACAGCGAAATCAAGCAAAATACAAATATGCAAGCAGTCGCTATATCAACTACACTCTACAAAACTATAACAGTGTTTTCATTATATATACCACCAAATGAAGAACTCAACGACGTGGAGCTTAGCAAATCAATGGAACAACAGCTAAGACCCTTCATTATAATGGGGGACTTTAACAGCCATAATGAGATATGCGAAGCAAGAAAACTGAAAAAAGGGGGAAAATAATAGAATAAATACTGAATAAATATCAGCTATGCTCGTACGACAGCAAAAAAATCAAACGCATATCTGCATCCAGTAAGAGGCACACATTCTACAATATGTGACCATAGGCTGTTTCTAGATTATAACTGGAAGATCCCCGACGACACATGTGGGAGTGACCACTTACCGATTCTTTTAGAAGTCGTGTCAGTTAAACAAAAGAACTCCATGCTGGAATCTGGAAAGGGCTAAATGGGAAGAGTTTAAACTTTCATGCCTTGCCAAATTAACCCCAGAAACCAATAAAGCAATGAGGATGACATATTTTACAAACACACTACTTAAGATAGCTGAAAGAAATATACCAAAAAGCTCCAACTCTTCAAAACTCAACAAACCATGGTTCAACAAGGAATGCAAGAAAGCTGTGAGATTACACAGAGCAAGAATAAACAAATTTTTTTTAAATATATCCAACAGGTGAAAATCTCAACATCTATAAAAATAGTAGCGCCAAAGCCAGAAAAATCATCAAAGAATCCAAAAGAACTACATGGAAGAATGACGTTACCAAAATAAATAGTAACACTAAACCAAAAAAGGTATAGCAGATGATACGAAAACTAACCGGGGAAAATATCCCTAGTAAACATCTCATCTGCAATAATGTGAAGATTACTGTCAAGAAAGATAAAATAAACCATCAAGCTGACATTTTCTCGCAAAATTCATCCTCCCAAAAAACCAAACCAAAAAGTTTCAAACAAAGCAAAAGCAGAAAAAGTAAATATCAAATTTCAAAGGAAAAATAAAGATTAAAAAAGAAATTATACTAGAGAACCAAATAGATATAGCACAGATTCATAGATAAATTCTATCAATTACACACTCCCTGGATGATCAACCAATCTAAAATAATATTAGAACTTACAAGATACCCTAAATATAAAACAAACCCAATCGTCTACCAAGCCGAAATAATCAATATAAAAAATAAACACCCAAACCACCTTTTTATATATATAGCAAAAAACGAAAATAAAGTCGGATGTGCAGCCATCCTAAAAGATAATAAACAACGGCAAAGAATTACAAACATAGCCTCAAAATATCGTGCCGAAACAATTGCTATTAATCTGGCACTGGACATGATAACCACAAACCCTTAGAATAAATTCATAATTTTCTCGGACTCTTTATCTGCGCTAACTGCATTAAAAAATATAAATGCTAGTGACTCTTTAATCGTCCGGGTGCTAGATAGAATTCATCAACAAAAAAAAAAGAAATGGTCTTTTGTTGGATACTGAGCCACTTTGGTATATGTGGAAATGATGAGGCAGACTCAGAAGCAAAGAGGACAATAAAAGACAGAATAACTAACACAGAAATATCACACTTATTATAGGACTGTTGTGAATTGGATGATCACAAATAAATGGCAAAACAAATGGGATACCCTCCCTAAGAACAAACTTCTGAACAATAAGTCCACCATTAGAGAATGGAACACAAAATATAATAACAATAGAGAGAACAAGTAGTGCTGATCCGTCTTTACTTACATCAGAGTGTGCAGAAGTTCCAACATGCACTTAATGCCAAGAGAGATTTACGATTTAGCATATATTGCTGGACTGTGTAGACTTTGACCTACATCGAGAAAAACATTACCAAGAGAACAGAATACGATAACAATAGAGAGAACAGGTTGTGATGATCCGTTTTCACTTACATCAGAGTGTGCAGAAGCTCCAACATGCACTTAATGCCAAGAGAGATTTACGATTTAGCATATATTGCTGGACTGTGTAGACTTTGACCTACATCGAGAAAAACATTACCAAGAGAACAGAATACGATAACAATAGAGAGAACAGGTTGTGATGATCCGTTTTCACTTACATCAGAGTGTGCAGAAGCTCCAACATGCACTTAATGCCAAGAGAGATTTACGATTTAGCATATATTGCTGGACTGTGTAGACTTTGACCTACATCGAGAAAAAAAACATTACCAAGAGAACAGAATACGATAACAATAGAGAGAACAGGTTGTGATGATCCGTTTTCACTTACATCAGAGTGTGCAGAAGCTCCAACATGCACTAAATTCCAAGAGAGATTTACGATTTAGCATATATTGCTGGACTGTGTAGACTTTGACCCACATCGAGAAAAAACATTACCAAGAGAACAGAATACGATAACAATAGAGAGAACAGGTTGTGATGATCCGTTTTCACTTACATCAGAGTGTGCAGAAGCTCCAACATGCACTAATGCCAAGAGATTTACGATTTAGCATATATTGCTGGACTGTGTAGACTTTGACCTACATCGAGAAAAAAACATTACCAAGAGAACAGAATAACAAGAGAGAGAACAGGTTGTGATGAGAACAGGTTTTTCACTTACATCAGAGTGTGCAGAAGTCCAACATGCACTTAATGCCAAGAGATTTACGATTTAGCATATATTGCTGGACTGTGTAGACTTTGACCTACATCGAGAAAAACATTACCAAGAGAACAGAATACGATAACAATAGAGAGAACAGGTTGTGATGATCCGTTTTCACTTACATCAGAGTGTGCAGAAGCTCCAACATGCACGATTAAATTCCAAAGAGATTTACGATTTAGCATATATTGCTGGACTGTGTAGACTTTGACCCACATCGAGAAAAACATTACCAAGAGAACAGAATACGATAACAATAGAGAG